CGCCAGCAAACAGAGACTGGCGCCAGATTTTAACTGCAGCACCTGGCGCCAATGCTGGCGTCTGGTGCTACGGCTAAAAGTCTGGCGCCAAGCTCTGGCCCCTGACGCTACTTCCCACATGCCTCAGCAGCTTTCTGTGCTCGATAATATCTTCCAGTTTCGCGTGGTGTTATTTCAGTCTTAGTTGTGAAAGATATTTCTCAAATTTCCTACGTGTAAAATCCTATGTTTTGACTCATTACGGATGGACTTTCCAATGAGAACCTTTTTATGCATATGACAATAATGTTAATCAAAATTACGCACATGAAATACTTAGAACTTTTCGAGTCTCATCCACTCATTCTAAATCATTGCCGAAACAAATTCAGGAATTAAAATAGAAATCGTCCCCAGTGGAGTCGCCAAAAACTGTAGGGAATAATTTCATGCCTTTAAAATCCCACTAGCTTGAACCCCACTATGATCATACATTAAAGTACGGTGGCGTCCAAAAGGGAAGAAGATAGAGCAAAAGAGTCGCCAACAAGCTTTTAAGGAACTTGTAAACCGTTCACGAGGTGAAGGTTACACCCCTTAACGATCCAAGAGATCGTCAAATCCATAAGGTCTAGAACCAAATAAGGGTTTGGGGATGATGGTACAAATCCAACCTAAAAGAGACTGAACCTGCCCTAATAATAGGCCTCTACTTTATTCTGATCGTATTCATGTGCGCTTTCTGATTAACATGCAATCAATAGGATTACCCTAAACCTGTTTAACCTATGTTGGTTGAATTTAATGCATAAATAAACTATTATTGACGATCTCTTGGATCGTTAAGGAGTGTAACCTTCATCCTATGAATGATTTACAAGTTCCTAAAACTTGTTGGCGACTCTTTTGTTCTATCTTCTTACCTTTTGGACGCCACCGTACTTTAATGTATGATCACAGTGGGGTTCAAGCTAGTGGGATTTTAAAGGCTTGAAATTATTCCCTACAATTATAAATCAAGTGATCTTCAATAATAGTTTTATTTGTGCATTAATATCCAACCAACATCGATAAACAGGTTTAGGGTAAACCTATTGATTGGTAAACCTATTGATTGCATGTAGTCACAAAGCGCACATTAATACGATCAAAATAAAGTAGAGGCCTATTATTAGGGTAGGTTCAATCTCTTTTAGGTTGGATTTGTACCTTCATCCCTGAACTACCAGTCATGGTTCAAGACCTATTGGAGTTGACGATCTCCTGGATCGCTAAGGGGTGTAACCTTCACCCTGTGAACGGTTTACAAGTTCCTAAAACTTGTTGGCGACTCTTTTGTTCTATCTTCTTTCCCTTTGGACGTCACCGTACTTTAGTGTATGATCACAGTGGGGTTCAAGCTAGGGGTAATGCTTGAAATACTCCCTACACAAAACTTTTTAATCAAATTAAAGTTAAACACATTCAAACAAATCTTATTGAATCGAATGAAAGTCAAATGCATTCAACGAAGCTAATTGAATCAAATGAAAGTCACACACAATCAAACAAAGCTTTTTGAATCAAATGAAAGTCAAACATATTCAAACAAAGCTTTTTGAATTAAATGAAAGTCAAACACTTTCAAACAAAGCTTTTTAAATCAAATGACAGTCAAATGCATTATATGAAGCTAATTCAATAAAATCAAAGTCAAACATATTAAAACAATTGAAATTCAAACACATTCAAACAATGATTTTTTAATAAAATGAAAGTAAAACTCATTCAAATAAATCTTTTTGAATCGAATGAAAGTAAAACACATTCAACGAAGCTAATTCCTGCAAGTAAAATTCCAACACATTAAAACAAAGCTATTTGAATAAAATGAAATTCAAATAAATTCAATCAAAGCTTTTTTAATCGAATGAAAGTCAAATGCATTCAACGAAGCTTATTTAATCTGATGAAGTCAAACACAATAAAAAAAACTTCATGAATTAAATGAAAGTTAAACACATTCAAACAAAGCTTTTTTAATCGAAAGAAAGTTAAATTCGTTCAATAAATCTCATTGAATCAAATGATAGTGAAACACGTTTAAGCAAAGCTTTTGAATCAAATGAAAGTCAAACGCATTCAAACAAAGTTTTTTGAATCAAATGAACGTTAAACACATTCAAACAAATCTTTTGAACCTAAGGAAAGTCTAACACATTTAACAAAGATTTTTGAATCGAATGAAAGTAAAATGAATTTAAAGAACCTAATTGAATCAAATGAAAGTCTAACACATTTTTACAAAGGTTTTTCAATGAAAAGAAATTCAAAAACATTCAAACAAAGATTTTTTAATCAAATGAAAGTAAAACACATTCAAACAAAGCTATTAAAATGAAATGAAAGTCAAACACATTCAAACAAAGCTTTTTGAATCGAATGAAAGTCGAATGCATTCAACGAAGCTAATTAAATCAAATAAAAGTGAAACACATTAAAACAAAGCTTTTTGAATCAAATGAAAGTAAAAACACATTCAAACAAAGCTTTTTTAATCAAATGAAAGTCAAATGCATTCAACGAAGCTAATTGAATCAGAAGAAAGTCACACACAATCAAACAAAGCTTTTGAATCAAATGAAAGTCAAACACATTCAAACAAATCTTTTGAATCAAAGGAAAGTCAAGCACATTCAAACAAAGCTTTATGAATTAAACGAATGTTAAATGCATTCAATAAAGCTAATTGAATCAAACAAATATTTTTTAATCAAATGAAAGTTAAACACATTCAAACAAAGCTTTATGAATGAAATGAAAGTCAAACACATTTAAATAAAGCTTTATGAATCAAATGAATGTCAAACACATTCAAACAAAGCTTTTTGAATCGAATGAAATTCAAATGCATTCAACGAAGCTAATTCAATCAAATAAAAGTAAAACACATAAACAAACCCTTTTGAATCAAATGAAAGTCAAACACATTCAAACAAAGCTTATTTAATCAAATGAAAGTCAAATGTATTCAACGAAGCTAAGTGAATCAAATGAACTAAAACACAATAAAAAAAAAGCTTATAAATCAAATTAAAGTTAAACACATTCAAACAAATCTTTTTAAATCAAATGAAAGTTAAAAACATTCAAACAAAGCTTTTTAATTTGAACAAAAGTCAAATGCATTCAACGAAGCTAATTGAATCAAATGAAAGTAAAACACATTAGAACCAATCTTTCTAATAACATGAAAGTCAAAGACACTAAAATAAAGCGTTTTGAATCAAATAAAAGTCAAGTACATTCACACAAATCTTTTTAGATCAAATGAAAGTCAAACCATTTAAACAAAGCTTTTTAAATCGAATGAAAGTCAAATGAATTTAAAGAAGCTAATTAAATCAAATGAAAGTAAACACATTTAAACAAAGGTTTTTCATTAAAATGAAAGTAAAAAACATTTATACAAAGATTTTTAAATGGAATTAAAGTCTATTTAATTCAACGAAGCTAACTAAATCAAATGAAAGTGAAACACATTTAAACAAAGCTTTTTAAATCAACTAAAAGTTAAACACATTCAAACAAAGGTTTTTGAATCAAATGAAAGTTAAACACATTTAAACAAAGCTTTTTGAATCAAATAAAAGTCAAACACATTCAAACAAAGCTTGTTAAATTGAATGCGTCTCAAATGCATTCAACGAAGCAAATTCAATCATATAAAAGTGAAAAAAAAAAATAAAACAAAGCTTTTTGAATCAAATTAAAATTAAACTTATTATGATGTAGAAATCTTGTCTAGGCTGTTATTATTATTTCTAATGTTATGTTAGGGTGTTTTGATCTTCCTAGTATCATGTTTAGGGTAACTTTAAAATCAAGTATGATCAAAACTATGATGTCTTTTATGTTCTTTCCTTATATTCATGTTAGTATCATGTTAGGGTTAAAGCTTTGATCTTTATTGCTTAGTGACATGCTAGGGTTTGTTATTAATCTTGTTAGTATCATGCCTAGGATCTTGCTATTATTATGCTTTAACATGATTATTATGATTATCATTATTGTGATGATTATGATTATGTTGCTTGTTAATGCTTGATCACACCTTTTTTGCATACTTAAAGGGAATTAGTAATTATAATCACGCTTAATAAGATAATTAATAATCTTGTTAGGGTTAATTTGATTATAACTCAAGTGATCGCCAATAATAGTTTTTTTTTGTGCATTAATATTCAACCAACATAGATAACAGGTTTAGGGTAAACCTATTGATTGCATTATAGTCAGAAAGCGCACATGAATACGATCAGAATAAAGTAGAGGCCTATTATTAGGTCAGGTTCAATCTCTTTTAGATTGAATTTGTACCTTCATCCCCAAACTACCAGTAATGGTTCAAGACCTATTGGAGTTGACAATCATTTGGATCGTTAAGGGGTGTAACCTTCACCCTGTGAACGGTTTACAAGTTCCTTAAACTTGTTGGCGACTCTTTTGCTCTATCTTCTTTCCCTTTGGACGCCACCGTACTTTAGTGTATGATCATAGTGGGGTTCAAGCTAGGGGTAATGCTTGAAATATTCCATACACAAAGCTTTTTGAATCAAATTAAAGTTAAAAACATTCAAACAAAGCTTTTTGAATCAAATTAAAGTTAAATGCATTCAACGAAGCCAATTGAAACTTGGTTTCTAGAATGTTAGAGGTCTAAATAAGGCCAGTAAGCTCTATGATGTCTTATGGTTCATTAGACATCATGGTGCTGGTCTTTTTGGACTTCTTGAAACTAAGGTGAAGGCTGAGAAGTTTGGTGTGCTATTTACTCTCATCATAAGGGTGGTAAAATTTGGTTTATTTGGCTGCCTTAGGTGTTTGATGTGTCTATTGTTAGATGTGAAGAACAGTTAATCCATTTACAAGTTCTTCATAAGGGAACAGGTAATAGTTTTTTCTGCACAATGGTCTATGGGTTGAATAAGGTTGTTGCTAGGCATAAGCTTTCGGAGCAAATAACTTAGATTGGTGCTTGTATGAATAGGCCTTGGGTTCTTTGTGGGGATTTTAACAACATCTTGAATCTTAATGATAGAATTGAAAGTCTTGTTTCTTTGACTGAAGTGGAACCCTTTAGAGCTTGCCTAAGACAGAACAACCTCTCTGATTGGGCTGCTGGAGGAATGTTTTATACTTGGTGTAATAAGCAGGCTGGTTGTGATAGAGTGTGTACTAAAATTGACATAATCATTGTGAATTGTGTGTAGATGGATAGATTTCCAGACATGCAAGCTACTTTTTTCCCTAAAGGATTAATGGATCATTGCCTTTGTGTTATTAACATGTTTGATTCTGGAACTCAAGTTAAGAAACCTTTTAGGTTTGTTAATATTTGAGTAGAATAACTGAGATTGGTGCTTGTATGAATAGGCCTTGGGAGATTAATGTTGATGGTACATTAATGTTCTAGTGTGTTAGGAAGTTGAAAGAGATGAAAAAAGTGTTGAAAAGTTTGAAAATGGTGAATTTATCTTGTATTGAAACTGAAGATGTTGTAGCTGAGAAGACTTTGATGGAAATCCAAGTGAAACTCCAAGCTGAGCCTGATAATGAGAGTCTGATTCAATTGGAAAGGGAAAGTAGAGTGACATATGCTAAAACTTACCTTGATAGAAACAATTTTTTGACGCAAAAAGCTAAGGTTCGTTGGCTTAAAGATGGTGATATGAATTCTGCTTTCTTCCATGCTGTTATTAGGAAGAGAAGACTTCATAATAACATCTATTCCATTGTGAACAATGTGGGGGAGGTGACTGCTGATCCTAAGGAAGTGTGTAAGGCTTTCTTGGAGTATTACCAAGGGCTCCTTGGAACTGAAGCTTCAATGCAGGGCAACATTCATTCTGCAGTCATAGCTGAGGGTAGCAGGTTATCTGATGAGCAAGGTTTGGAGGAGGTGTTGAAGGAGGTGTTGCCTGATTTAATTGATGATTGTCAAGGGGCCTTTGTTTCTGGAAGATCTATTCTGGATAATATCCTTATTTTTCAAGACATGTTGAAGGCTTATAATAATAAAAGGAAGCCCCCAAGGTGTACCATTAAAGTGGATCTCAGGAAAGCTTACGACTCTGTGAGCTGGGAGTTTATTCAGGAAATGATGTGTGCTTTGAAGTTTACCACTCAATTCATCTCTTGGGTTATGCAATGTGTTACTACTCCTACCTTTTCTTTACTGCTTAATGGTGGATCTTATGGTTTTTTTAAAGGGAAAAAGGGAATAAGGCAAGGTGATCCTATGTCTCCCATTTTATTTGTTATTGTAATGGAGTATCTGTCCAGATTGCTGAAAAAAGTTGGGAAGAAGAAGAGATTTAATTATCATCAGAGGTGCAAGGAGCTTGCTTTAAATCACTTGATTTTTGCAGATGATTTGATGTTGTTTTCTTATGGGAATAATGATTGTGTCAAGCTCCTGATCAAGGCTCTTAAAACCTTTGAAGCTAGATCTGGTTTGCAGGCTAATCTTGAGAAAACTGCAATTTACTTTGGCAATGTTCAGCATCCTGTCCAAGATAGCATTCTGTGCCATTCTGGATTTGTGAAGGGTGAAATGCCTTTTAGGTAATTGGGAATTCCTTTGAATGCCAAGTATTTGAAGATGGTGGATTATGATAGTTTGATAGATAAGATGTTGGTCAGATTACACTGCTGGAGTAGTAGGAATCTTTCATATGCAGCTAGGGTCACCCTTATTAATGTAGTGTTAATGAGTCTGCATACTTATTGGGCTCAATGTGTTTTACTTCCCAAATCAGTCATTGATAGGATTAACCAGCTTTGCAGAGCTTTCTTATGGAGTGGTAATGATGTTCTTTCTATAACTCCACCAATTGCCTGGGATTGGTTTGCAGACCTAAGAAGGCAGGTGGTCTTGGAATTAGAGATTGCAGGAAGTGGAACAAAGCTGTTCTGGGTGTTTATGTTTGGAAAATAGCCAGGAAAACTGACTCTCTCCGGGTCAAATGGGTACATTAAGTTTACATTAAAGGTGAAAATTGGTGGGATTATGTTCCAAAGAAAGATGCTGGGTAGGCATGGAATTGTTATGCAAAGTTAAAAATGATTTGAGGCATGGTTTTACTTCTAAGGGATGGCTGAATAACAAGTACAAAATCAGGGATGGGTACAACAGGTTGGAAGGTGATTTGGATAAGGTTCAATGGTGTAAATGGGTTTGGAATTCCTTCAATATCCCAAAACACACCTTTATTGTATGGCTTGTTGTTTTGGGAAGACTTAAAACTTGAGATAAGCTATTCCAATATAAGGTGAGTAATAGCAGTGACTACTTGCTTTGTGGTGATGCTGTGGAAACTTGCAGTCATCTTTTCTTCTCCTGCAATTTTAGAAGGAAGGTGTTGAAGGTTGTTTCTCATTGAATTGGGTTTGATAAAAATCAAGTAGACATCCTTCACAACTGGAAATTATGGAAAGCTGAGGGTAGGAACCATGTTCAGAAGAATTTGATCTTGGCTAGTTTGACTGCTGTTGTTTACAGTATTTGGCTTGCTACGAATCATGCTCTCTGGCATAGTGTTGTGCTCAGACCTGAGTTCATTGCTAAGGTCATTAGAAGGGAGGTGGTGACTAGGTGTTAGCTGCTAATCAATTATACTTGGACAATTGCTGACTGTAAATGGCTTCATCAGCTTAGAAACAGTGTCTAGTTGTTTCTTGATAGTCATTTTTCTGTATGCTGGACTGTATTAGCAGGTTTTTTTCATTGTGTATCTTGTGCAGGTCTTGGTTCCCCTGTGCCCTTCCTAGAAGGTACCAGGGGTCTATGAACCTGGTTTCTGATTATTGTGTGTCCTGGTACCCTTCACATAAGGTGAACATGATACCCTTGAGTCTGATGGGGGTGGTGTGCCTTACTTGTAAGGCTTGTGTAGTTTGGTGTTTCCTGGTTTGACAGGTTGTAATTTCTTGTACATTTGTACAGTTTCTGTTTATAATACTTTTCTTACTTTCCAAAAAAAAAAATCAATCAAATGAATTCAAACACAATAAAAAAAAAGCTTTTTGAATTAAATGAAAGTTAAACACATTCAAACAAAGCGTTTTTATTCGAACAAAAGTTAAATGCATTCAACGAATCTCATTTAATCAAATGATAGTCAAACACATTCAAGAAAAGATTTTTGAATTAAATGAAAGTCAAACGCATTCAAACAAAGTTTTTTGAATCAAATGAACGTCAAACACATTCAAACAAATCTTTTAAACCTAAGGAAAATCTAAAACATTTAAACAAACGTTTTGAATCAAATGAAAGTCAAATAAATTCAAAGAAGCTAATTGAATCAAATGACAATCAAACACATTTAAACAACGTTAAGTCAAACACATTTAAACAAAGATTTTTAATCAAATAAAAGACAAACACATTCAAACAAAGATTTTAAAATCAAATAAAAGTCAAACACATTCAAACAAAGCTTTTTGAATCGAATGAAAGTCTATCCATTAAACAAAGCTAATTTAATCAAATAAAAGTGAAATAAATTAAAGCAAAGATTTTTGAATCAAATGAAAGTCAAACACATTCAAAGAAAGCTTTTTCAATTAAATGAAAGTTAAATGCATTCAACGAAGCTAACTGAATCAGAAAAAAGTCACACACAACCAAAAAAAGCTTTTTGAATCAAATGAAAGTCAAAGACATTCAAACAAATCTTTTGAATCTAAGGAAAGTCAAAAAAATTTAAACACAGCTTTTTGAATTGAACGAATGTCAAATGCATTCAATGAAGCAAATTGAATCAAATGAAATTCAAACACATTTAAACAAATATTTTTTAATCAAATGAAAGTTACACACATTCAAACAAAGCTTTTTTAATGAAATGAAAGACAAACACATTCAAATAAAGCTTTTTGAATCAAATGAATGTCAAACACATTCAAACAAAGCTTTTTGAATCGAATGAAATTTAAATGCATTCCACGAATCTAATTCAATCAAATAAAAGTGAAACACATATAATTAAGCCTTTTGAATCAAATGAAAGTCAAACACATTCAAACAAGGCTTTTTTAATCGAATGAAAGTCAAATGTATTCAACAAAGCTATGTGAATCAAATGAACTTAAACACAATTAAACAAAGCTTTTGAATCTAAGGAAAGTATAACACATTCAAACAAATCTTTTTAAATTGAACCAATGTCAAATGCATTCAATGAAGATAATTGAATCAAATGAAATTCAAACAAATATTTTTTAATCAAATGAAAGTTAAACACATTCAAACAAAGCTTTTATAATGAAATAAAAGTCAAACACATTCAAATAAAGCTTTTTGAATCAAATGAATGTAAAAACACATTAAAAAAAAGCGTTTTTAATCGAATGAAATTCAAATGCATTCAACGAAGCTAATTCAATCAAATAAAAGTCAAACACATAAAAGAAAGCCTTTTGAATCAAATGAAATTCAAACAGAGCTTTTTTAATCGAATGAAAGTCAAATGTATTCAACAAAGCTAAGTGAATCAAATGAACTCTAACACAATCAAACAAAGCTTTTGAATCAAATGAAAGTTAAACACATTCAAACAAAGCTTTTTGATTCAAATGAAAGTTTAAAACATTCAAACAAAGCTTTTTAATTCAAACGAAAGTCAAATTCATTCAACGAATCTAATTAAATCAAATGAAAGTAAAATACATTAGAACCAATCTTTTTGAATAACATGAAAGTCAAACACACTAAAACAAAGGTTTTTGAATCAAATAATAGTCAAACACATTCACATAATTCTTTTTGAATCAAATGAAAGTCAAACCATTTAAACAAAGCTTTTTAAATCGAATGAAGGTCAAATGCATTTAAAGAAACTAATTAAATCAAGTGAAAGTCAAACACATTTAAACAAAGGTTTTTCATTGAAATGAAAGTCAAACACAATTAATCAAAGTTTTTTGAATCGAATGAAAGTCTATTTAATTTAACAAAGCTAACTAAATTAAATGAAAGTCAAACAAATTAAAACAAAGCTTTTTCAATCAACTAAAAGGAAAACACATTCAAACAAATGTTTTTGAATCAAATGAAAGTTAAACACATTTAAACAAAGCTTTTTGAATCAAATGAAAGGCAAATACATTCAAACAAAGCTTTGTGACTCAACTAAAAGTCAAACACTTTCAACCAAAGCTTTTTGAATCTAAGGAAAGACAAACACATTCAAACGAAGCTTTTTTAATTAAACTAATGTCAAATGCATTCAATGATGCTAATTGAATCAAGTTATATTCAAACGCATTCAAACAAATCTTTTTTAATCAAATGAAAGTTAAACACATTCAAATAAAGTTTTTTGAATCATATAAAAGTAAAACACATTTAAATAAAGCTTTTTGAATCAAATGAAATTCAAATGCATTCAACGAAGCTAATTCAATCAAATAAAAGTTAAACACATTAAACAAAGCCTTTTGAATCAAATGAAAGTCAAACACATTCAAACAAGGCTTTTTTAATGAAATGAAAGTCAAATGTATTCAACGAAGCTAAGTGAATCAAATGAACTTAAGCACAATTAAACAAAGCTTTTGAGTCAAACAAAAGTCAAACACATTCGAACAAAGCTTTTTAAATTGAACCAATGTAAAATGCATTCAATGAATCTAATTGAATCAAATGAAATTCAAACAAATTAAAACAAATATTTTTTAATCAAATGAAATATAAACACATTTAAACAAGGCTTTTTGAATGGAATGAAAATCAAACACATTCAAATAAAGCTTTTTGAATCAAATGAATGTCAAACACATTAAAACAAAGCTTTTTGAATCGAATGAAATTCAAATGCATTTAACGAATCTAATTCAATCAAATAAAAGTCAAACACATAAAACAAAGCCTTTTAAATGAAATAAAATTCAAACGCATTCAAACAAAGCTTTTTTAATCGAATGAAAGTCAAATGTATTCAACGAAGCTAAGTGAATCAAATGAACTCAAACACAATCAAACAAAGCTTTTGAATCAAATGAAAGTTAAACATATTCAAACAAAGATTTTTGAATCAAATGAAAGTTTAAAACATTTAAACAAAGCTTTTTAATTTAAACAAATGTCAAATTCATTCAATGAATCTAATTGAATCAAATGAAAGTAAAACACATTAGAACCAATCTTTTTGAATAACATGAAAGTCAGACACACTAAAACAAAGGTTTTTTAATCAAATAAAAGTCAAACACATTCACACAATTCTTTTTGAATCAAATGAAAGTCAAACCATTTAAACAAAGCTTTTTAAATAGAATGAAGGTCAAATGCATTTAAAGAAGCTAATTAAATCAAGTGAAAGTCAAACACATTTAAACAAAGGTTTTTCATTAAAATGAAAGTTAAACACATTCAAACAAAGCTTTTTGAATGGAATGAAAGTCTATTTAATTCAACGAAGCTAACTAAATTAAATGAAAGTCTAAAACATTTAAACAAAGCTTTTTCAATCAAATAAAAGTAAAACACATTCAAACAAATGTTTTTGAATCAAATGAAAGTTAAACACATTTAAACAAATCTTTTTGAACCAAATGAAAGTCAAACACATTCAAACAAGGCTTTTTTAATCGAATGAAAGTCAAATGTATTCAACGAAACTAAGTGAATAAAATGAACTTAAACACAATTAAACTAAGCTTTTGAATCTAACGAAGTTAAACACATTCAAACAAAGCTTTTTAAATTGAAACAATGTCATATGCATTCAATGAAGCCAATTGAATCAAATGAAATTCAAAATTCAAACAAATATTTTTTAATCAAATGAAAGTTAAACACATTCAAACAAAGCTTTCTGAATAAAATGTAAGTCAAACACATTTAAATAAAGCTTTTTGAATCAAACGAATGTCAAACACATTATAACAAAGCTTTTTGAATC